GACTAGAGATTTACCCACTGGGGAAACTGAACCAGAAGAGGCCCTCGATTCAAGGACACAAAGCACTGAAGACAAGGGTATCAAGTCAGATATTCACAGTGCTTCAACCCCTTCCTCTCCCACCCTCCTTCCCCATATGGGCAGCCAGGAATGGGCACCATCCTTCCCACCTCTGGGCAAGAATAGAGAAAAGCCCATCACGCAAGAAAAAAGAGCAGTAGGCCAGCCCCATACATATACACAGAGCTTCTGATTTGGTTTTTTTGGACTTGAAAAAAGGATGCTTTCCACTTTTGCGTATAATATTTTGGTATATTATACAATAGTTCAGTTATGCTATGGAAGGGCAGAAAGTTTGTCTGCTCCGCCCCACTGATGAATTCTCAGTACTTAGAATAATGCCAAGTACATATTAGGTACTCAATAAATACTTGAATGAATGAAGTGTTTTAAAAATCTCTTCTGGGCTTCCCTGGTGGCGTAGTAGTTGGGAGTCAGCCTGCCGATGCAGGGGACGCGGGTTTGTGCCCCGGTCCGGGAAGATCCCACATGCCGCGGAGCGGCTGGGCCCGTGAGCCATGGCCGCTGAGCCTGCGCGTCCAGAGCCTGTGCTCCACAACGGGAGAGGCCACAACAGTGAGAGGTCTGCGTACCGCAAAAAAACAAAACAAAACAAAACAAAACAAAAACTCTTGGACTCTCATGGATACCCCAAGCACCTCAAAAATGTTATCTTTCTATTTGTAGAGCATCACTTCCTTTCAGTTATTGACAAAGTAATAACATCACCACACTTCGCAGTTAAATTCCACTTCATTGCACCTCAATTTTAAACATAAAATTCACAATAGTCAGTTTCTAAAAATGGCTGATATTAATTGTTCTTCTATTAGGAAGAGTAAGTGGCTCATATCACTTCATATTTAATAACATTCATTCTTAAATGAAAGCACAGGAGGTTTCATTTAGAAAAAGACACTGATTTTGTACTACTGGAGGAATGAGCTAGATGGGCCCTCTAGTGGCCTCGAAGAGCTAAAACTCCCCGAAGTACCTGACATTCCTGAGGAATCAAAGTCTATTAAACACAGTCTTTCTGAAGCTGTAGACTCAGGGGGAAAAGACCCACCTGGCTGCAGAGTTACTGCAATGACTTCTCCCTGTGTTTGCGTAGTAGTCAGAGAGAGAAAGGAACAGAGCAAGTGTCACAGGGTGAGATGTGAAACGTTACTTGGAGGCAATAACAGGATAACTGGAGAAATGGAATCCTGAGCTCCAGTTTGTCCCTCATAACTGCTTCCTTATTATGCCTCTATCACTGCTACCTTCCCCCCAGAACATGAATGCTCCTACATGCCCGATCTTCCCGGACCGGGGCACCAACCTGTGTCCCCTGCATCTGCAGGCAGACTCTCAACCACTGCGCCACCAGGGAAGCTCCAAAACTATAGTTTTTATATGAGTGGATATAGACAAAATACCAAAGGCAACTAAACTTAAACATTATTGCATTTCTGAGTATTTGGTGATGAACCAAAATTGTCTGGATGAATATTGATAAAGACATCCCTAAGTCATGCATTTTAATTATTCTATAACATTTCTTTTGTTCTTCCTATATTCCAGAAAAACCAAGAATCATGTTGTTATAATCCAGATTGTCATATAATTTGTGTTCTTTTGATAGCAATGTCAAATTAAACTACTTTTCTTAACTCACTCTTAGATGGTTTCTTATTATCTTCAATTTGGAAAAACTTCACTGTGTCAAAACAGTAAAAACAGGAATCGTCAACAAAATTCTCAGGGCAATGCTTGGGCTTCGAAACAAACCATGAATTTTACACGTCACGTTCAATCATTGTAATGGGGTCACCCAGGTTAAATATACTCTCATCATATAAAATACTAGAAAATATTGTAATTTTATTATTAAAATCAGTATCACTCCTATTTCTCTACCTATTGTCTCTTAAAACAATATCTGGACCCTGATAGCATTTCTTAAATGTCTCTTCTTTCCTTTGTTTTTAATGCGACGTGAAGAGAAAACTGAAAACAACAGTGTGTTGCTCAATTTGTTTAAATCTCTCTTCACTAGAGATTATACCTACAACTAAAACGGCCAGAAAATAGTCCCCAGAGGAAATTAGCATCAGGACTTTTTATGTGGCTCATGTCAAGGCCTGGTTCATGGCTGTCATCCTGGCACACACCTTCTCTACTTCAGGTGGACTTCTCATTCCTAGCAGTAGATTTCAAGACTCCTAGCTTCATTCTGCTCTCTCATTAGATTGGTAGTTTACCCAGGTTTACAATTCCACAGTTGCCTCTGTTCAGAATATTGAAGATACTGTGCCACTGGTCTCCAGCATTGATGTCAGGAAATCCAACGCCATTCAGCTTCCAGTTCCCTCGTATGGGACCCATTTGATTATTCTCAAAGCTTTTGGAACATTATTTTCCCAGATATTTTCATGGCTGGTTCTTCTTTCTCATTATCCAATTCTCCGCTGACCTCTTAAGGGACCATTCTTGATAGATCATAGAAGCCTCCACATGTCACTGCCACATCACCATGTTTTATTTTCATCGAAATAGTTAATGCTACCTGATATTTTCTTGTTTTACTCTTTTCTATATTATCTCTTTCTGCTGAATAAACTATAGGCTTCACAAGAATTTGTTTGCTTCTGAATCCCCAGTGCCTAGGACAGTGAGCAAGTACTCAATAAATGTTTATTAAATAAATGAGTGAAAGCCTGTATATTAGCACTACTACCAGAAGCAGAGAAAAAAGGGCCATTTGATTGATATTTCTAAATTATGTAAAACAGGATCATGTCTAGGACCCCATCTTTGCCACGGTGTTTGTGTTTACGGCAAACAGGTCTTCTGGCCACTGTGAATCAGAAACCAGGAGTCCTAAAACTTTAAAACTAAAGTCAAACTTTTGAGTAGATCAATTTTATTTGTTCTCAGAAAGCACTGACCATGGGCCAAAATTATCTTCTTCCCTCTACAAAACTTAATATTTATTAAGAGTTAATGTTATCATCTTGATCCTAGCAGAGCAAGGCGTATAAGAGTGCAAGCTTCCGCATCAGATGGCCTCAGTCCTGATAGAAGCTTCGTCATCAGGAGATGTGTGTCCTTGGGTTTATTTAACCTCTCTAAGCCACAATCTCCTAATTATAAGAGTGCTTGTCTCCTAGGCTATTATGAGGATCAAATGGGATCATTCATCTAAAGTTCTAGGCATAGTCCTTGAACATTTAATAAAGGTTAGCTGTAATTATTAAAGGAAATTATCTATTTGAACATTTGCTTATTCTTTGCAACGTCTTACCTAAAAGCATCACTCATTATATTGCATGAAATAATTTCCTCTCTTAGCTTAGTGCTCACGTAAAACTGCCTTTTCAATCCCTCCTGAGATTTTCCTTAATCAGATGGGAAGTATAGGACCAATCATATTTTCTTTCCAGAAGGAAACTCAGATCATTTGCGTTAATAACCTCTTCCAAATATCTTTTTTCTGCTTTTTTTTCTTAGCTGACTTCCTTCTGATTTTATTTTTAATTATCATCTTTTATATTGTATTTAACTTTGTAGCTTTTGGATCTGTCATTTATGAGCTGAGAGGCCCTGGAGAGGTTATTTGGCATCCAAAGCTCCACTTTCTTAATCTGTCAAATGAGATGTGTGTGGACACCAATGACACTAGCATCCCAGTCTCCCTTTTAATGACCACTCTTCTAACTCATCCATATTCCCTCGGGGCCATACAAAGGGCCCAACCCTCTAAGCACTTAGATTAGTCTAGAAGTGGACATCTAATTCAAGCTGGACCAAGGAGACACTTGCCAGAAATTCTGGATTTAGGACTTAAAGAGGCAGGTCAATTTCCTTCTAGTAGCTGAAATTATAAAACATAAATCCCAGGAGCTGCTAGTGGCTATGTTTATGAAGGAGCCCGTCCACAGTGAAAAAAGAGAATGACTCTAAGATGCAGAGGGGAGAAGGGAGTGGGAGTCCTAATAATTCTAATGGTTCCAGGGTTGTTGATCTTCCTATAGCTTGGCTATCCCATTAGATAGCCACTATCTTTCCAATAAATTCTCATTTTTGCATACACAATCTGGGTTTGATTTCCAAATAATTCTAATACATAGAAAATAATCCTTACTTTTAGTTCTAATAGTTCTAATATGTAGTTCTAATATGTAGAAAAGAATCCCTACTTTTAATAGTTGTTATAAAAAGTAAATGAGGGCTTCCCTGGTGGCGCAGTGGTTGAGAGTCCACCTGCCGATGCAGGGGACACAGGTTCGCGCCCTGGTCCGGGAGGATCCCGCATGCTGCGGAGAAGCTGGGCTCGTGAGCCATGGCTGCTGGGCCTGCGCGTCTGGAGCCTGTACTCCGCAACGGGAGAGGCCCCAACAGTGAGAGGCCCGCGTACCGCAAAAAAAAAAAAAAAAAAAAAAGTAAATGAGATAAAATAAGTGCTGGCTTATTACCTGGCATATAATACTTACTCAAGACATAATACCTATTAACATTATTTAGAAAATGGGAATGAAAATTCTAAATCAATTAATTAATGAACACAATTTTAATAGCTTACAAGTCTTCTTTCAGTTTCAAAATCACTCAAAGGGATTCTTTGGTTTTGTATCTCGAAAGAATTGCAAAATAAGAGAAATGCTCTAAATTAATTTTGCAACATATCATTGTATAAATCTTAGTAACTCTTACATAGTTAAACAATCTTAGAGAATACTAAAGCCTCCAACCCAGCAACCTACAATTTATTGCTAAACTCGCATATTTGCAGTAAATTGACGGAGGGAAAGTGGAAAAAGAAACAAACTTATATTCCACTTATCCCACACATGCAAGAATCAGTCTGATACAGTTAAATGTGCAAAATACTGACTGGCTGCATGCACAGCAGTCTTCACATACTGTGAAGGACGCAGTAAAGAGAATTACAATACCTGTAGAGATACCACACTGACGTTATCAAAATGAATGTGTCCATTAGGCTCTGTGACAGCTGGATTTGCATAACATGTCACACCGTTGATGGCAGGTAACGTTTTAGGTTGATGAGTTTTTTCTCGAGAAGAACCAAAGTCATCATTTCCAAAGTGGGTATGACCATCCTACAAGAAAAATAAGGGAGGAAAAGGTTATAAGAAGAAACAAAGATGGCTCATACAGGCAACAAAATAGAGAATTTAATGTTTTTTATTTATAAGAGAAAAATTTTATATCTATTCTGTATGTAGTATAATCTTTTTAGATTTATAAAATTTCTCTTCCTTTAAATGTATCTTCATTTATTAGATTCTCCTGTTTTTGTTTTTTCATGTTAGGGTGCATATACCTTCTTATGGTGATGGATATGAATGGAATACAAATTATGTGCATCTGTTATTGGACATTAAATTGTTAGTATTTACTCCAAATTCTACAATAAGAATCAAGTGTTCCTCTTATACTTATCAATATACTGATCCTTTTCTTTCTCCCCTCACATTCACAAGTCTAATAACTGAACTGTTCACATAATTGTAAGAATAAAATTCCTGCCTTTATTTGCCTATATAAAGTAGCTTTAGTGGATAAAACATCAAACATTTTAAATAAAGTCCATTTACCTGACCATACGTCTTCAATAACATCTTAAGCGTTCTTTCAAAAAAGAAAAGTATGTAAAATCCACCAAACACAGCAACTGCCTTCTCAACATAGTTGTCAATTTTGGGATTGAATCCAAATGCCTAAGGGAGAAAAAAAGGCAATTCAGGTAAGACCAAGTAATTTAATTTGATTCAGTAAATAATTTTCACCACAGTCCTAAGTCCATCCTTCACATCCAGATAATACTGGGTATTTACCTGCCAAAATCATAAAACAAAAACTCTGAAATCTGAGTAATCAAACTGTACGAGATAGCACTGAAGTCTTATAACCAGAGGAAGTCCTATTAAATAAAGCCCCCAGAGTACCGTATAGTTTCCTAGCTATAACACCTTCAGCGATACTTGGCTTGAGAAAGTAAACTTTTAGCAGTAAAAAAGCAGCACTGATTCCTATATTTGTAAGATAATATTAGACATGGGTAATTAAGACAAATGAGACATTGATTATCCACTTTTTCTAAAAGTAATATATTTGCCCATAATTTCCAGAGTCAACTTTTTTTTTTTTTTTTTTGCGGTACGCGGGCCTCTCACTGTTGTGGGCTCTCCCGTTGCGGAGCGCAGGCTCAGTAGCCATGGCTCACGGGCCCAGCCGCTCCGCGGCATGTGGGATCTTCCCAGATCGGGGCACGAACCTGTGTCCCCTGCATCGGCAGGCAGACTCTCAACCACTGCGCCACCAGGGAAGCCCTCCAGAGTCTACTTTTTAAAGCAAATATGGTAGGTCACTTGGATTACTGTTTTCCCAAGAGAGAGCCCCTTGAACTTAGAGGATCCTAATAAGTCCTAAAGAGATAAATAAATCGAGGACTGAGCCCCAGAATAAGGAAGAAAAGATATAAGGTACCAGGCACTCACACACACACATACACACACACTCACAAATGATGAGAATGAAATAATTCATTGTTTAAAGGACACAGGACAAGAGCTGGAGCTTGAAATTATAGTCATGATGTTCTAGGCAGACAAGAAATATAAACTTAAAATAAGTAAAATAGCAGGGGAGCATAACATGTGAAAAGCCACAGCTTTATACCATTCCACACATTGTAAATTTCCCCTCTGAACAGCAGTCTAGAATAGAAAATGCCTGGGTTCTTGTTCTACATCTGTCTCTGGAGAGACCTCATGCCACATCTTCTTTTCAGTGACTTCTCCGGACCTATTTACACAGTGCAAAAATGGCATAAAAATACCTACTCTATACAACTAACAGGTGGTTATGAAAATAAAATAACAAAGGGGAAATAATTTTGCCACAAAAGAAATAACTATCAGGACTTCCCTGGTGGCTCAGTGGTTAAGAATCTGCCTGCCAATGCAGGGGACACGGGTTTGAGCCCTGGTCAGGGAAGATTCCACATGCTGCGGAGCAACTAAGCCCATGCACCACAACTACTGAGCCAGTACTCTAGAGCCCGCGAGCCACAACTACTGAGCCCACGTGCCAAAACTACTGAAGCCCGCGCACCTAGAGCCCACGCTCCACAACAAGAGAAGCCACCGCAATGAGAAGCCCGTGCACTGCAATGAAGAGTAGCCCCGGCTCGCTGCAACTAGAGAAAGCCCATGCACAGCAGCGAAGACCCAACACAGCCAAAAATAAAAAGTAAATAAATTTTTTAAAAAATTTTTTAAAAAGAAATAACTGTAAATTGGGGGTATTATTAAAAAGATAGATTCTCTGGATTTTAATTCTTTCATCTCTACAATTGAGGCTTTGAAGCAGATGTTCTCCTAGGTCCTTTCTAGATATAATAATAATAAAAAAAACTATGACTTTAAGAAGTTACATCCCCACTTTCATACATAGCTGCGAAAACTAAAAGGAGCTTTAGTTATAATTTTCTAAAACTTATGAGCTGAAGGTGATACTGCATGTTTTCCTTTTGTTCAGAGCTTGCCCCTCCATCTTTGTGTGTGCATGAGTGGGGAGATACTGTCCACGTGTATATGTGTTTCTCTAGTTGCCCTTTGTGACTCCCTCCTGTTAATGTCTCTTTCTCCTTCCTGTCTCTTTTCCTCTCACTTATTCTCCTCACTCCATCTCTCTTCCTTATATGGCCACATTATAGATTTGAAATAAAACATATATATCACGTGTTGATGAACTGAATAGCACACTGTAGTCAATGGCAGATCAATAATATGTTTTACCAAAGGAAAAAATAAGCTGCTGTTTATTTATCGGCCCTCGACTGATTTTTATCCACAATCAAAAAGAATGAAAAGGTTTGTCAATCATGTTCTAATTTACCCTCTAGTCTTCTTTAGCTGTAGTAAATATATGGAGGAATTTTTTTTAACATCTTTATTGGAGAATAATTGCTTTACAATGGTTAGTTTCTGCTTTATAACAAAGTGAATCAGCTATACATATACATATATCCCCATATCCCCTCCCTCTTGCGTTGCCTTCCCACCCTCCCTATCCCACCCCTCTAGGTGGTCACAAAGCACCGAACTGATCCATGGAGGAATTCTGTTGTATATCTTAGTAAATTTGACACTGCGTGCACTTCAGAAATAAATAAGTAAATAATAAAAAGAGTGCAGAAAAATTAAATTTGCCAAATGTGAGACAGAATAGAGTCGTAAGGCCTTCCAAAGTGTCCCAGAGCTGTCTGAGCATGTCCTGGTGCCTGGCCTCCCAGAATATTAATTTTCTCTCTGACGCTGACTTCCCCTGCAGCTTGGGACAAGCTTTTTCATTTGCTGTGATTCAGCTTTCTCTTATCCAAAACACTATAAACCAGACCATAAAATGCTGCAAGAATTATGGAGGCTTAAAATGTACAAAGTGCTGAAACATTTAAAAGAACCAATTATTCACAGAAACAAACAGCCAACCTCCTTACCTCTGGTATAAGTTGGAAAATTGCATTTGAAAATAGAGTCCCAATAGCCAGCCCCACAAAATAGGTCAAAATCTTAGGGAAATAAGATTTCTTTATCAACGGAGTCAAAATCAGTCCGAGGAGAGATGCCAGATTAATAACTGTCACTGACAGGAAGCCATATCCCCAAACTGTGAATCAGAGGGAAAAGAGAAGAAATTAATTAGAGCATAGGAGCTAAATGACATCTTACTGTACATTAAGTCTGAAACACATTTCATCTTTAAAAGCTTGAAACAGGTATCTTCTTTAAAACAACGAAAGCTTCTCACTGAAAATTATATAGAAAATTACTGAGAATATAAATATTAATAGTAACACTGCCTATGCTTTCCTCAATCCTAAGTCATCATTACGGGATTACAGACTTTTATAGCTTGCAGGGAATTTGAAGAACATCTAGCAGAGTGATCACCCGAGGCCTACAGGCTCCGAGCTACCTAGCTGCATCTGTGGCTCAAAGCCCAGTTTAAAACTAGGCCTTTCAGAAGACTAACAGAGGCAGTGTGGGTTTCGGGGAGAAGGTATGGGGTGACGAGGGCAAGCAGATGGGTGGGGTTGTTAGCTTCAAGATGACCATAGTTGCTGACACTGAGCACGTCATAATCATTTGTCTGCAGGCCCTGTGGACAGCACCTCCTCGGGGAAGACAGCACCTCAGCCCCCTGCCTGGGCCTCCAGGGAGCCCCAGTGCAGTGAGCACTCAAGAAGGGAGCACATGGCAGCAGCAGAGAGTGGATACGTTGCACAACTCACCCTACCAGGCTCGGACAAAGGCAACAATATCCCATAGGGTGGAGACAGTGGTGAAAAGGGTCGTGGAGCATTCTTCATGTCTCCATCCTAGGGCCTGCCCCCCTAGTGGTGCTTAATAAATGTTCCTTAAAATGAAATGAAGGGATGGCATCCTAAGGTCAATATCTCCCCGGTTATCCTAGAGGGGATGGCTTAAAAACAACATGGGAGGGCTTCCCTGGTGGCACAGTGGTTGAGAGTCCGCCTGCCGATGCAGGGGACACGAGTTCGTGCCCCGGTCCGGGAAGATCCCACATGCCGCGGAGCGGCTGGGCCCGTGAGCCATGGCCGCTGAGCCTGCGCGCCCGGAGCCTGTGCTCTGCAACGGGAGAGGCCACAACAGTGAGAGGCCCGCGTACCGCAAAAATAAATAAATAAATAAAAACAACATGGGAATGCGAGTGAAACAGACTGTGAACCGTACAGGGGCAGGTGGCAGTGCAGGCTGAGATACAAACTGCCCCCAGAACTGTGTGACGTTGGCTTTGCCTGCAGCCCCACTGACTGTGCGCTAAGGACAGTGTGAAAGATTAGAAAGCTGCCTCTACATTGTCACTTCCTTAAAATGCCCAGAAAACATTTTTAAATGTCGGGGCACTTTCCTCATTGACACTATCAGTGGAGTACGTAGTAACACCAAATGCTTGGAGAGTGTTTGCCATGTGCCAGGCACCATACTAAGTGACTAACCTGTATTAATTCATTTGATCTTCACAAAACCCTGCGAAGCAAGTACTACAACTACCTCCTTCATGCAGTTGAGGAAACCAAGGTACGTGGAGTTCAAATCAGCTGCCCAAGTCTTGTGAATAGAATGAAAGATTTTGAACCCAGTCTGGCTCCGGGGCCCACATTCATTAGCAATATGTTTCATTACCCCTTAGAGGTAATCTAATTTTTAAAAAGCTCAAGGGACTCGACAAAACTGTGAACATCTTATATTGTGCTTCATGAATACAGGATTGCTCACCATTATTCTAGTGATTCTGACTACAAATAAGCCATCTTAGGAAACATTTATGGAGCCTAGGTTGTAGACCAAACCGTGCTTCCTGCCAACAAGGAGCTTGGACCTTTGGCTTGGGGACGCTAGAGGGCACACACATACACAAAGCAAAACAAGGTAGCTTGTGCTGAGTACCACATGAAAAGGACAGATAATACACATTACAATGTTACCACAAGAACCATCGCAGCACCGACCATGCCTTTATCTTCTGCAGACACTTTCCTATCAGTTCCAGACTCCTAACCATGCCCCAGAGTCATCTCACGGGACTCACAAAGGTCCACCTGATTCCCATTTCTTTCCTTATCACCTAAAGCAACACCACCCACTCCCCTTAGCATTTCCACTTCAAAGAAGTTCTCAACCCCACCTCTTCCTCCATGGTATAATCTATGTGTAGTTGCCCTTAACACAAACAGTCTTCTATCCCATCGCTAGCCTACATGTGTTCATTCATTCAACAAATATTTATAATCTAATTAGGTAGACAAGATATATACAAGTTGGAAATTAAAGTCAAAATGCAAAGAACTTTTTGAGTACCAAACAGAGGCAAAGCCACTACGCATATTAAACTCATCAGCTTCCCCTGAGAAATCCTATTTCACTACCCTTGTCCACTGTCTCCGTAAATAGCAAAAACATCAGGATCAATTTCAATGTCTCACTCTCCACAGTCAATTCCAAAGACAATTAGCGACTAAACTCTACGAATTTTGCTTGAGATACCTCACTCCACGTTCTCCAACCCATCACCTCCCACTTCTCATCTGGTACATTGACAGCTTCCTGTCTGGTCTTCCTCCCCCTACTTGACATGGCCACCAATCTTATTATCCTAAAACACAATTCTGATCATCTTGTGCCCCTATTTGCAGCTGCCCTTCATCAACGGACTGCCACACAACCTTTCCAATGTTACTTACCCCCTTATCAACATGGCCTTTATGCAGACACAATGTTTTCCAAATATAGAATTACCTTTGCACTGTGGTTCTTTATCTGAAAACACCTTTTCTATCTTCATTGCCTGACGAACTCACACACAGCTCTCCAAGCCAACGCAAAGACCTCCTCCATGGAACTTTCCTGGATTTTCCAGGCAGCAATCCCTTGCTCATCAAGTTTCCCATAGTTCTTTGAAGGTATTTGGGCCGCTTACCATTTCTTGTGTGCTACCATCATTTTATCACTTATATATTCATCTACATGATACAAATTATAAGATTTTCAAGGACAGGGGCTATGTTTTATTCTTCCTCAGAGCCTAGAATGTTGCCCAGCAAATAGCACACATATCTTGATGAATGCATGAATGCCATATTTTCAAGGTGCAGCCCAGAACTCTGTCAAAAAAATACCAACTCATTTTGCTTGTCCAACTTTTCTAACCTTCCTTACTATTATTGTGCACATCAGAACCACCTGGGGAACTGTGGGAGTGGGAACCATCATGCTCCAGGCACACAGCATAGTCTCCCCTTCTTGCATTGTTAGCACATTATTCAGGAAAAAAAGATTCATTCATCCACTCAATCTGAGCACCAAAGAATGAATTAGTATAAGAATACTCCTTGGACCTCTCCATATACACATAGGACTCCCTCTAGTGATCTGTTTCAGAGAAAATCCTTTCTCTCCGCTTCTTAGTGAACTCTGAAGAATTTTAATACATTTTCAAGGAATATTAGTAACAATAGCAAACATTCATTGAATGCCCACAATGTGTTAAGATTCTTCTAAGAACTTCACCTGTTTAAGCAAATTTAATTCTCCTATTTCATAGTTTTTAGAAGAATTGAAATAAAACCAGTTAATTCAGACCCTGTAATATAGTAACTCTTCAATAAATGCTATTATATATTTTTTTAAGTTAGTAAGTAGACATCATGTAAATTTTAGTTCATTTGTCTCACTGTTATACAATGAAAGATCAGCAAACCAGGAGTCAGGAGCCCTGGGCTCTCATTCCCCCTCAGGTATGTACCTAGAGGAAGCCATTTAACCGCTCTGGAACATAGACTTATGTCATCAACTGTATTACAGAGTTGGACAGTGTGATTTTCAGGGATACTAATAAGGATAAGATACTATTATTCTTATCTGTTATTTGAACTGAATGGCATTCTGTGATCTTTAAAAAAAAAATGAGGCAACTTTGGACCATTAACTTATTGCTAAAATGTAATTAATCTCCTAGAGAATTTAATTTACCATCAGTTTATTGCACTCATCAATATAAAGTATCTGAGAGGCAATTTCAAAATCACAAACTGTAAGGTCTCAGGTAAGTGAGATTCTTTTATCTGCCCATTGAAATATCAGAGTTTGGCTTGCTTTTATTTTGGTTTTTCATTCCCTTGAATGAGCTCAAAATTGACTCTGTATTAAGTGAACTATTATATAAAGAATCCAGGGCATTTCATTGTTTAAAATATCATTTAAGGGGCTTCCCTGGTGGCGCAGTGGTTGAGAATCTGCCTGTTAATGCAGGGGACACGGGTTCGAGCCCTGGTCTGGGAGGATCCCACATGCCGCGGAGCAACTAGGCCCGTGAGCCACAACTACTGAGCCTGCGCGTCTGGAACCTGTGCTCCGCAACAGGAGAGGCCGTGACAGTGAGAGGCCCGCACACCATGATGAAGAGTGGACCCCGCTTGCCACAACTAGAGAAAGCCCTCGCACGGAAACGAAGACCCAACACAGCAAAAATTAATTAATTAATTAATAAACTCCTACCCCCAACATCCAAAAAAAAAAAAGCCTTTAAAAAAATATATATCATTTAAAATATCAAATATCTAGAAAAAATATTTGTTTGAATCATGAGCTCTGAAATTATTGTTACTCACAAAATCGTTAATTATATTGATAAATTTCTATTCTTTGTATATGTAAGTACAGAATACAAAAGAGAACATGGGTTCTGAAGCTGAGACAGCCTGGGTTTGAACCTGGCTCTACCACACACAAGCTGTATAAATCTTGAGCAAACGACTTTGAACTCTCTGCACCTCAGTTTCCTTGGCTGTAAAATGGGAATAGTTGTTCCATCATATAGTTGTGCAAAGATTAATTGAGTTAACATATGAAAGAACTTGGAAAAGTATCGGTTATAGAAAGGACTAGGTAAAAGTTGGCTGTTATCGTTATTTTTGTCTTTGTTGTTATCCCTTTAATTCATATATAGTAAGACTAAAATGCTCATCTATACACAAAGGAATCCAAAAGTTAGCATCGGGCTGGCCAAAAAGTTCATTCAGGTTTTTCGTGTTACAGAAAAACCCGAACAAACTTTTTGGCCAGCCCAATAAAACAGGCGCTCCCTTTGTGGAGGCTTCCCTTTTCTTCTTCAGCCTTCCTCTCCTTATATTCCCCATCTATATTCACGTTAGACGTGCTCACTCAGACCAGTGGCTCCAAACACCACCTCTGAGACGACCAATCTCCAGCCTCGACTATTCTCTGAAATCCAAATATGTGTGTGCCACTGCCTACTGGACACGTCCCCTCGTGGGTCTACATCGATGTCTCGGACTAACCACGTCAGAAATTACACTCTTGGTCCTCACCACTCGCTTCCTCCACAACAAAGTGCTCCTTCCCCAGTCTTGTCCATCCCAGGATGTGGTGCAACCATCTACGCAGTTTCTCTGGCTTAAACTTGGATTCATCTTTCCCTCCCACACATCCAGTGCAGAGGCGAACCACATTAGCACAGTCTCCAAAATCCATCCTGAATCTGACCAGATCTCCTTACTTCTCCACTCCCACCTTAGACCCAGCTGAGCACCAACCCTGGCCATAGCCCCCTGACCCATCTCCTTGCTTCTACTCTCGCCCCTTAACAACGTATTCTTCAAACTGCAGGTGGAATAATCTTTTACAAATCCAAATAAGATCACATCACTCCCCTGTTTAGGACGCTACAGTGTCTTCATACCACATTCAGAATAAAATTCCATCAGTTTACCACACCTTACAAGCCCTCCCTATCTGGTCCCTGGCTACCATCTCCTACTCTGCTTCCAGCTCGCTGTGCTCCAGACACACACGCTTTCTCGCTGTCCCTTACACACGTCAAGCTCATCCCCAAGCTTATGCTGCTGTTCCCTGGACAAAGAATGCTGTCCCCCAGAGAAGATCTAGCCATGGCCCTCTCCCTTTCCTCAGCCAGGACTCTGTTCAAATGTAATCTCATCAGATAGGCCTCCCTTGACCCATCTAAAATCACACTCACCCACCATCTCCTATCCTTTACCTACTTTATTTTCTTCATAGCATTTATCACTCTGAAATTATATAATTTATTTGCTTGTTTGTATAAATGTTTCCTATCTCTTTTCTTCGCTACATTGTAAGCCCTAAGAAGGCAGGGAATTTTTCTTCTTGTTCACTACTGAATGCTTAATACACAGAAAATAAAGGAAGCAAAAAAATGAGAATTAAAATACTCATGTGGGGCAGGTAGCAATTTGGGAATACCAAGAAATTGCCCCTCAGCAACTGATTTATCTCATTGGTGAAAGAACTCTCCTACCTGTTTAATTAAGCATGTGGACTACACAGTAAGAATACACTTACTTTCTTATATTTAAAAAGTTCTTTACAATACCTATGGCAACACCACTATAGGCACTTAAAAGAGTCACTGGCATTTCTTTTATTTATGAAAATTAAAGCAGTAATAACTCAGTACCTTAAGATTTAATCTAGAACCACACTAGTTTCCTTATCTCTTTACTGACAATGACGGATAAATTGACAGGTTTTAAAATAATATAAGTACAACATAATGGAAATTGATCCGTTATGACCCAAATAGTGAATGTGCCATCCAATATACACAACATAAAACATGTATTGCTTAAAATCAAGAACTGAGTTTTATAAAATTTTCTCTTGGCACCAAGTAAAATTTTGACTCCATAAATAAAAGAGCATAACTTCTGAGGCTTAAATGAGTTCTAATTATACTTATTCTAAAGACTTCCAGAATATAAGTATTTTCTACCAAGGGATCCTATGTAGATTAATTAAGAGCAATAAAGCAGAAAAAGAAGCATCTTAATTTCATTTTAGACTAGCTCACAGAGTTTTCAAACAAATGGGAGAAAAAGCTTGCAACATACCCTCTGAAAGACTTGGTTTTGTTTTGTGTTTGGGCCGATCATCGCAAGGGTGAAAGTTCAGTTGCTGTAAGACTGCTGGACAGATGACAGAGAAGTCTGAGCTGGTGATCTGTGTAGCATTTGAAAAGCCATGAAGTGAAAAGATCTCTTCCGCCGATAAACACTGAAATAGAAGAAACAAAGTAACCATACTCAACAGAGTAAAAGGCTGCAAGCAAAGATACTGTAAAGAGGCATGGACTACTTCCTCTAGACACACAACACTACCTTTTTTTTTTAAATTTATTTATTTTTTTAATTTATTTATTTTTGGCTGCGTTGGGTCTTTGTTGCTGTGCACGGGCTTTCTCTAGTTGCAGCAAGTGGGGGCTACTCTTCGTTGTGGTGTGCAGGCTTCTCATTGCAGTGGCTTCTCCTGTTGCGGAGCACGGGCTCTAGGCGTGTGGGCTCAGTAGTTGTGGCATGAGGGCTTCAGTAGTTGTGGCTCACAGGCTCTAGAGCACAGGCACATTAGTTGTGGTGCACGGGCTTAGTTGCTCTGCAGCATGTGGGATCTTCCCAGACCAGGTCTGGAACCCATGTCCCCTGCCTTGGCAGGCGGATTCTTAACCACTGCGCCAACAGGGAAGCCCAACACTACCTCTTCTACAAAAAGTCACTATAAAAATGTATCAACAGATGAATGGATAAAGAAGATGTGGCACATATATACAATGGAATATTACTCAGCCATAAAAAGAAACAAAATTGAGTTATTTGTAGTGAGGTGGATGGACCTAGAGTCTGTCATACAGAGTGAAGTAAGTCAGGAAGAGAAAAATAAACACAGTATGCGAACGCATATATATGGAATCTTAAAAAAAAAAAAAATGGTTCTGAAGAACCTAGCGGCAGGACAGGAATAAAGATGCAGACGTAGAGAATGGACTTGAGGACACAGGGAGGGGGAAGGGTAAGCTGGGATGAAGTGAGAGAGTGGCATGGACATATATACACTACCAAACGTAAAATAGATAGCTAGTGGGAAGCAGCCGCATAGCACAGGGAGATCAGCTGCGTGCTCTGTGACCACCTAGAAGGGTGGGATAGGGAGGGTCGGAGGGAGACGCAAGAGGGAGGAGATATGAGGATGCATGTATATGTATAGCTGATTCACTTTGCTATAAAGCAGAAACTAACACACCATTGTAAAGCAATTATACTCCAATAAAAATGTTAAAAAATATATATTATCAGTGGAACAACAGCAATTCACACAAAGAGCTTTAAAACAATTCTATGTCCTCAATCTCCCATCTCTGTTTTTCCTCAGTTTGAATAGGTATTTTGTGGAGGCTATTGGAGTACCTCTGTAATACCGTTTCTTGTAGACAAACACACCTGGTTCCCTTACAATTTCATGGTTAAGAAGTTCATCCATCCTGGACTGCAATAATAATCTCAGTACATAAAAGTTGTTTTAAAATATAGAAGTGAGAGAGAGACAATTTGTCTTTAGAACAAATTGTTGCTTGCTAAAATATCTATTATTCTCAATGATGGCGGGTAGCTTTTCTATATTACAATATTTCTACATTATAATGGCGCTAGGCTGTTTAGAAGTTCATTTAACTGAGGAATAGAATCTGCATCAGAAAAAAGTTCTCTGCAGAAATAACATTTTAAAAGTACCGCTTTACTCTTGGGCATATTTTAACTGTAAACTTTCTTCTATATACTTGCATTATTAAGAAGACTATAAAAGAAATTAAATGTGTTACTACTGCTAATAAATGTTATAAGAATTATAGAGTATGAAAAATACCCATTCACTGAAAGAAAAACGTCCATCTTTAATAACTGCAAAGAACGTTTCTTTGCATACTTCAGCCAATATTTAAACCCCACTAAGACCTTAGCTTTGTACTCTAGACTGGATTATGTCCTCCGCAAATGTATATATTGAAGCTCTAACCCCCAATGTGATGATATTTGGTTATGGGGCCTTTGGAAGGTAATTAGGGTCAGATAAAGTCATGAGAGTGAGGCCCTGCTCCAACTGGATTAGTGGCTTCATAAGAAGAGACACCTTGTCTTAAGCAGCCATCTGCAATCCAAGGAGAGAGCTCTTACCAGACACCAACCCTTCTGGCACCTTGATCTTGGACTTGCAGTCTCCAGTCTGTGAGAAAATAAATTTCCCTTGTTTGAGCCACCCAGGCTACAGTATTTTGTTATGGCAGCCCAAAGTCACTGATACACTATGGACCGTACCAAGAACTCAAAAGTTGTTGTTAACTGTTTCATCATAAAGTGCTGTAATTCCCCTCACAACAGAAACAATCAAAGTAAAAATGTAAGATTTGGTAAAAGATCACTATTGATTATGAAGGAAAGATGAAAAACATCAAATACATCAAATTGTATGGAGTTGTCAAAAGGTAAGACTTCAATTGCCTTAAAGAAAATGCACATGTACACACCATTTTTGTAACATCTAAGAATGTGCCTAAAACTGTTCTTTACTGAACCTAAACTCTCCTTTGGGTTCGTGACAATGATAGCTGTGTGCCATCCCTAGAATAGGAGACAACACTCAATGCTCTGTTAAAAGTCTTCCCTAAGACCAAGAATAAGGGATAATGAACCAATGGAGGGAGAAAATAGCTTGATAGCCAATGGGGGGAGAGAAAGTGGGTATAGTTTATTCATTACTGTGAAGACACCCAGGAGCATAAATGCTAGGCTCAAAAATTACAGAGTCCGGGGAATTCCCTGGCGGTCCAGTGGTTAGGACTCCACGCTTTCACTGCTGAGGGCCCAGGTTCAATCTCTGGTTGGGGAACTAAGATTCCCACAAGCTGTGCAGCGCTGCCAAAAAAAAAAAAAAAAAATTACAGAGTCCATGTGGCTCAACTGCCCCACTGCATGATTCCAGGAATAAATAGGTGTAGAAGTGAAAATACAAAGCAGCACTGTTTCCCTGCAAGGAAGTTCCTCCAACTCCAAAATAGGAGGAAAACGGATGCTGCCCATAGATAATTTGCAAAAGTCTTCTCAGAATGAACAATCTAAGACTTCCTAAAACTTGATGACTGTTAAGCAGTTCCTTTTAGACTCTAATTGTGACCCATTAGTGGAAAATCCACTTACAATATCACAGAGAGCATTTTATAAGTAAGTAAAAAACAATATAATAGCAACTACAGAATGTATCACACATAACAGGAGTTAAGTATTGCCTAGTCAAACTTTTGCTTCAGTTACACTTTATACATACCATGCACATGTATACTGGACCACAATATAAAGTTCATTTTTTACTATAAATGGCAGTCAAGAGTTTTAAAGTCACTATCCTTAAGGATGCCCAGACTTCCCATTGTACATCATTAAAGACACTGTCCTACATACAGTTAGGGAAAAAAAAAAAATGCAATCAAGGAATATATACTCAATATTGAAAGAGAGCTGAGAGTCTTGATGATCTGTTCAGAAAGAACAAAAAGGTACAGAAATGACAAAACTCTAGGCCTTGCTTTATGATTTTAGAATGAGGATGGACTACTAACAGTGTGACAAAACTGAATTAATGACAGGCCTGCCTTATTTAAATTAGCGATCTACCTTCAGAAAACAAACAGGTTGCCAGAAAGGGGGTTGGGGGGGCGTGAATTAGGTGTAGGGGATTAAGAGGTACAAACCTCCAGTTATGAAACAAATTAGCCATGGGGTTGTAATATACAACATAAGGAACGTGGTCAATAATATTGTAATAACTTTGTGTGGGGACAGATAGTTACTACTTATCAAGGTGATCATTTTATAATGTCTACAAATGTCAAATCACTACATAGGACACCTAAAACTAACATAATATTGTACGTCAACTATATTTTAATTTAAAAGATAAATAAAAATAAAGGAGTGAAGTTATGAGTGAAAATTAATTAATTAATTAGTTTAATTAAATAGCTATCTACCGGCAAGTGGAATGCAAATAGTTTTATACTGCACCCTATTTGGCTTTAAACAATATTGATTTTTATTATGCTTTGATTTAACAGAGTTGAACCTGACGCAAAGAAAGCAGTTGTCTAAGAAAGGGCAGTGCTTCCCAGAGCAGAGACACACAGGATGAGCACCCAGGGCCTGAACAGTGAGGACGGGGGAAGGTTGAATGATTAGAGCAAATTCCTCCCTCAACATTTCATACAGTGGAAATCTGCTTATAATAAATGCCAAGGAGCTAGGTAAGATTAGAGATTACACAGTGTAGATAATTACACAGGCTCTCTACTTGACTGAACTTTAGTCAGGTTCTTCTAAGTCCTCTAGGCTTCGGCCTTACGTCCATCCTTGTAGGGCTGGCACTGCCCAGTTTTAGCAAGAATCCTGCCAAGTCTGTTTAGAGAGAATCCCCTAGCCTTAATATTTGATATTATCTTAATATCCTCAATGTCTGGTCAAGTTCTTCATTCCTCACCCTGATATCTGATTACCCTGGCTTCAGCAGGTATCCTG